CTAGTTGTAGAGTTTACAGTCAGCCAGGCTTCCTGTGGTTCTGGATGAAGTCCGTGTTATTTCTCTGAGGTATTAATCAATTGTTGTGAGCGGCATTAACTTCCCGGTGTTTATCTCTGCCGCCATCTTAGTTTCTCTCCAAACTGTTTTTCTTTACCCTTCTAATTTAAGTAGGGTGACACAGGGAGGTAGGCATCATATACCCATTTTACAGATGAGAGAATGGTCCTGTCTTTTCAAGACACCCTGTTTGCTTCTAAGGGGAGAGGTTCATCAGCTTTGGAGAATTTCCTAAATTCTAAGATGTCCTGAAAAGGCATTATGTGTCTGCACCGTGGTCCTGTGAAACCACTGTTAAAAGAAGTGGACCCAGGGTGGGGGAGGCTGGGTAAGGTGAAGTGTCAGAGGGATTTGAGGATGTGGCCAGGTGGGAGCGGGAAAAGGTTGGGGGACATCCTAGCAAACACAAGCCATACTGAGCATTTCCTTCCCAGGTAGCACTTGGGAGAATGTTTTATCCAAAACAGAGACCAGGTCTGGGGCCTTGGCTTAGGGCTTTATTTGTCAGAGGCTGAGGACTAAGATAGTGAAAGCTGGACCTGGAGTTGGAGAGCTGAGAGCGGGAAGGTCAGTGACCAGAAGGCTCTTCGTACCTGGACTGAGCTAACTAGGAGCATGAAATGAGGGAGACACCAAGACGTTAGCCCTGTGCCGAGCCCACTGGGCAACCGGGAGTGTGTTTCTTTCATTCATAAACTGAAATGTTCTTTGCGAACCAAGACAGGGGAATACAATGCGCTAATACAATGGTGTCTAGAATGCGTCCGTCCCCCTTTCCAAGTGAGCCTCTCCGCCTCCTCTAGGGTCATTATCATCTCACTCCACCCCACAGTGTTATCTTCTCATTTTGTAGGATGACCAACTCCGGGTTTGCCTGGGACTTGATCAGTTTTAGCTCCAAAGTTCCACATGCCAGTAAATCTCTTCATTGAGGGCAAACCAGGACGGCAGGCCTCCCTAATGATCTTTCTCTCCACCGAGTCCTTCCCAACCTGAGGACATTTCGTGACTCTTCCTTGTTACTCAGCTGTGCTTCCCCTTGAGCTCCCCGTCCATCCTTTTCATCCGTGGACGGCTACACTTCTTCCGCATGGAGTCCATCATCTTACTAAGTCCCCTCACCTTCCAGGTGACTCCTGGACCGTCCCCTTTCAAGCTTCACCAGCCCTACTTCTGGATAGCCACTGGGTTCTGGGATCACATTTTCTCTTTCCAGCTCTGAGCTGCAGCTTCTCTGTCTCAGATCTAGGGAGTGAGTGCTCCCTCTGCTCTCTGTGCCCATTTGACACCCCTCAAAGCTCAGGGCTAGGTCCCGTGCCCTCACGCATCTGCACAAATGCCGACAAGAGCGAGACAGGTAATACAACAGGACAGGCAGACTTAATTAGGATGGAGAGAACCAGAGTGTATGTGCTCCATCTAGAGCGTTTTTTTTTTTGTTTTTTTTTACTTCGGCAGGTTTTCAAAAGAGTTGGGTACCTTGGTTTGCATGCACTTTTGGAGCCCAGCTGTTCCATGAAGTAAATTTATAGTAGGTCACATGATCCAACCTGGAAATGGAATATTTTCACGTAAAGAATTCATTTCTGAGAGTTTTTGGAAATATTCTATCCTTACTTGAGAGGGGAGTTCTTGGCTCCCCTCACCTGACTTTGTACCCTCTCTCTTCCCATGCAGGTAATCAACACATCTCTGGTCACAAGGCTCTCACAGTGCAGTCAGGACCTTGAAGGGGACAAGTGAGAACCCGCTAGTCAAGTCCTGGGAACATTATTAGTGTGGAAAGATTCTCTCAGCTGATAAAAGTCTTTCCACTTATCACTGGCTCATTTCATCTTTCCATTGAAATTAACAGGCAGAGTGTGGCGACATAGTGAGAACAAGATGGTCAGCCACCAATGAACAGACAGGTCACAAGAAGTTACCAACATGAGCAAGGTCAACAGCTTGAATATTTAAGCTATTTTTAGTGCCTAGTGTTATAAGTCTAGAAAGGACTTTGAAGAATAAGTTGTCTATTCTTCAGGTCTCTAGTGGGGCTGTATGCCAATAATCTAAAATTTCTTATATTCTAATTCTTTTTATTTTCCTAAAGGGTTTGTGTTCTCTGATTAAAAAAAAAATCCTTCATTCATTTTTTTGGTGTTCTTAAAGGCTCTGATGGCCAGACTGGACCTGGGTTCCCCGCCGCTGGTGTGTGACACACGTCCGTGCAAGGCTGCGGGTGCAGCTCCTCTGGCTGCGGCCCTCACGGGACTCTATTCCCTGTGCCAATTTGTTCACCACCATATGCCAACAGGTCGCTGAGGTGGCTCTAGGCCAGTGGTCGGCAA